GCGTACCGGACGGAAGAGGAGACGGACTCAGACAATCGCCACGAATGAGGAGACCGGTCTGCGTGGTGCAGCCGACCACGGCCGTCAAGTCGACTCGTTTCAACGCCTGCACCGACCAATGCCAGATGAAGGCGGGTCTCAACTGCATCGGTTCAAGATAGACGGCCAGCAGGAACTGACGCAACTGCAGGCGAGTGGAGACCACCAAGTCAGCCAATCGTGGGCGAGATTGATGCCGAAATCGGGGCGGAGAAAGAAAACAGAAGAATTCGAATAAAAACTGTATTTGCCCAAGGTCATATAGTCTCATGAAGGACAGATAGTTGAGTTTTTCCCACAATCATGCGTGTTGGCCGCACGCTTGCATTGCATTTACCTTATCCTTTCTTCCCAAATGGCACTATCATCGAGGATAGATTGTACTTTCCACCTCGCATTAACTGGCCTTATCAGCATCCCCAGCGGAAATCACCCAAAGTAAAATCTCGACTTATGAACAACGCATGTCACATTATTTTAGTTATGGAGTAGAGTTTCGAGACTACCAGTAAATCAGTCATGTGAGATGTATTCACTTTATTTCGTGCAAGGTGATAAAGGACTGGTAGTAGAGCTGACGCTTCCGTTGAATTTCCCATTTCCTTGCTTTCCCAAAAGTTGTTCTCATTATTTTGGTGCAAGTGTCGATGAAGCAAATTGGTATTTTCCATTACAATAGGCTACACTACTTGCATTAAGGTTGAGTAGGGTCTGAAAATACCTGTAGATCGGGAATAAGATATATCGGTGATTTAAACCCCTATACAAATAGAATAGAAAAAAAATTGGGATGGTAAGATTGAGAAATCTCGTGCTTCATAATTGTTGAGTTTAGTTCCATTTCGAGTGAAAGCGTTTGGTCAAGAGATTTCAAAGCCGATCCCACCAGAAGACGAAGGCGAGTTAATCTTAATCAGCTGTTGATTGACTTTAGATCAATATTCTTGTTGACACTGTTCCCGAGGCAACTTCCTTATATTCCGGCGAAAACATGTTAAGCTTGCGTCCATCGTATGGCGAAAGTCATCAGAGCGGGGAGGGTATCATATTTACAACCACATTCATGTTAACGAATCAAGAAAATTCACTGGCTCGTTCTCTAAATCTGTATATATACCTTAAATCTAAGCTATTTGATGAGATATAAAGTGATTTATTTATTTAAAGTCATGTAAGTGTATCTGTATGTCAATGTATGTGTCTGCATGCGTTCGTATATGCACAAAACCAGCAGCGATGACTCAAAGTAATTAGAACAGAATAAGTAATCTCTGTACCCAGCCATCAAAGTTTGATGAACACCATCATTCCCTTTATGCATAAATAGTTAATTGTTGAGCTTATTTCCATTTCGACTGAAGGTGTTTGGATAAGAGATTAGAAGGTTAATTCTACCAGAAGAGGAAGTTGATTCCTCTGGACAGCTGTCGATTGGCTTTACTAAAACAATCGACAGCTGTCCAAGAGAAATTCGCCGTCCTCTTCTAGTGGGATTGACCTTCGAATCTTTTCTTCAAACACCTTCCCTCGAAATGGAAGTAAGCTCAACAATTAAGAAACAAGAGATTCCTCGAAACCCAACTTTTACTCGCATAAACAGTTGAGCCATCATTCCAATTGTTCAAAGACGGAAACATGTCTAGTTATGTTAATCATCATTTTTTTCACATGAGAAAGAATGAATGGATTCAATATTACAGAGAATAGACTGGGATTAGAAATAAGAAAATAAAATAAAAGACCAGTTGCGTCGTATCTGTTTTGTAAGCGATTTAAAATCATCTCTAGCCTTGAGTCTATTAATTAAGCATATGTATTTCCTAATTGACTCATTTCCGGTATACCTTACATTGGTTGTATCCCCAATTAGGTTTACTTCGATGGCCTCTCTAATCTTACCTTTAGCAAATCGAGAAGCTTGACACCATCCAATATCATGTCCAGTTACTGCTTTGTCCTCAGCTGGTTCTGAGTTTTGAACACAACAGCCCCTACAGACCCTTTTGTGCTAAGCCACCCTCTGTCGAATCGGACAAGAAGTAACCTCTGTTCTCACCCATCTGTCGAGTCGGACGACAAGTCTCTCCAGCATAAAAGTGACTACATTCAAACATTATTTTGTAACAACCCGATCTGGAGAATGGGTCAACATGCTCCATAAAAGTGCAGAAAGTGTGGCACTTTCGCTGAAAACCCTTTTTATTCGCCACTTCCTCTCTAGTTCGCCTATCCTTTTCGGACAAAACGTGGGAAAAGTTCTCATTATATCTTCCAATTTATTTACGATTCAAAAATGTATTCTATATTAATCTAATGTTAATTTCAATCAAACCTAGGAGGTAATCATTCCCAAGAAATACTAGCTCGAGATGATCCAGTTCATCATCACAAGGCTCTCTATCCGCTAGTCTTATGCTCCATAAAATCGTGGATTGTAAACTGCCAAGCCTTGTTGTGTAACTGTGGTTGAAGGAGAAATTAAGAATAAGGCCAGTCTGTGCTGGCTTCCCTT